TTTGAGACAGAGCCTCAAGCTATCCCCCTGGGCAGAGTGCCGTGGCACCACAGCTCACAGCAACCTCCAACTTCTGGGCTCAAGCGAGTTTCCTGCCTCAGCCTCCCAAGTAGCTGGGACCACAGGCGCCCACCACAACACCTGGCTATTTTTTTTGGTTGCAGCCGTCATTGTTGTTTGGCGGCCCAGGCTGGATTCGATCCCACCACCTTAGGTGTATGTGGCTGGCGCCTTAGCCACTTGAGCCATAGGCACCGACCCCTAAGTAGGTTTTTGTCACCACCAGTTGTTACCAGGAGTTTAGCTAATGATGAAGACCTCAAAGTGAATTTGCACATCATGCCTTGATGTAACATAGACCTTGTTTTATAGCCACATTTGGCAGAGCCTTGATGTTGTTAATACCCTGGGGGCTTGTTTACATGATCTTCATAATGTCATACTTGGCCTGGAATACATGTGTAGCTTTTGACTTATTTACTTAAAATGTTGCCTTCCTCTTCACCTTAAAGAAAGTTTGGCTATGTGGATTTTGAATCTGCTGAAGACCTGGAAAAAGCCTTGGAGCTCACTGGTTTGAAAGTCTTTGGCAATGAAATTAAACTAGAGAAACCAAAAGGGAAAGACAGTAAGAAAGGTATGTCAAGTTTTGGGAGATTGTACTCCTATATGTTCCGGAAGTCGTAGTCTGATATTGGGGAAATGCTTTGTAACTTTTCTCTCCTTTCTTTATTGATTTACTGTAAGGATTAAATCAATAAAGTGTTTGCAGCAGTACTGGGCACTACTGAATTGTAATATGAATTAGGCAAGCAAGAACACTTACTTAGAAAAAATTATTAGAAGTATCAAAATTAATATACAGGGGCCTTTCTTCACTGAAACTAGATTGTCTTTTTAATTATTTGTTTTTTTCCTTTATAAACATGTTTTTGGGTGGTATGTTCCCAGTTTTTTAAATTAAGAGATAAAGTAGATTGAGCTTTGTTCTAAGATGGTTTGACATTAGCTGTGACAACATGGAGGGACCACATGTATTTTGCTATTGCTGTATCTCCATACTACCACGGAGCTCATTGTTCTTTTTAAATCTAGATCGGGATGCCAGAACACTTTTGGCCAAAAACCTTCCTTATAAAGTCACTCAGGATGAATTAAAAGAAGTGTTTGAAGATGCTATGGATATCAGAATAGTCAGCAAAGACGGAAAGAGTAAAGGGTATGTTTCATCTATTCAAATGTAAGACTTTTGTTTTTCAAAGCAGTGTCAATCCAATTTTCCTAGTTGGTGATCTTGCGCAGTTTAACCAATAAACTGGTGCTAAAATTTTCCTTCTATATAGTTGAGACAGTATACCTAATGAGTGCAGTGGCTCCTGCATATTTGAGACTGAGTCTCACTATGTCACACTCTCTGTAGAGTGCTGTGGAGTCACAGCTCACAGCAACCTCAAAGTCTTGGGCTTAAATGATTTTCTTGCCTCAGCCTCCCAAATAGCTGGGACTTAGAGGTTCCTCCCACAATGCCTGACTATTTTTTTGTTGCAGTTGTTTAGTCAGCCAGGTTCAAACCCACCACCCTCGGTATATGTGGCTGGCATGGTGGCCACTGTGCTATGGACACTGAGCCTTTAGTCCCAGCTACTAAGGAAGCTGAGGCAGGAGGATTGAGGTTGCTGTGAGCTAGGCTGACATCATTGCACTCTAGTCTGGCCAGCAGAGACACTATCCCAAAAAATAAGTAAATAAAAGTTGGATACTTGTAAAGAAGTAGGGAATGTGCCTAGCTTATAGTGCTTTGGACATGACATGTATTGCAGTGAGGTGAGGCCATCACGAAGAGCATTTGTCAAACTTGGTGGTGGGAAGTAAGGGAAACTCAAGTTTTATTTGTTTATATATATATATATATATATATTTTTTTTTTTTTTTTTTTTTTTGAGACAGAGCCTCAAGCTGTCCCCTGGGTAGAGTGCCATGGCATTACAGCTCACAGCAACCTCCAACTCCTGGGCTCAAGCGAGTCTCCTGCCTCAGCCTCCCAAGTAGCTGGGACCACAGGCGCCTGCCACAGCGCCCGGCTATTTTTTGGTTGAAGCCTTCGTTGTTTGGCGGGTCTGGGCTGGGGATTCGAACCCACCACCTTAGGTGTACGTGGCTGGCGCCTTAGCTGGTTGAGGTATAGGTGCCGAGCCTATTTGTTTATTTTTAAGACAGAGTCTCACTATGTTGCCCTCAGTAGAGTGCTGTGGCATCATACCTCACAGCAACCTCAAAAACACTTGGGCTCAAGTCTTGGCACCTGTAGCTCACTGGTTAGGGTGCCCACCACAGACACCAAGACTAGCGGGTTCGAACCCAGCCCAGGCCTGCTAAACTACAGTGACAACTGCAATAAAAAGAAAGTAGCTGGGTATTGTGGTGGGGTGCCTGCAGTCCCAGCTACTTGGGAGGCTGAAGCAAGAGAATTGCTTAAGGCCAAGAGTTGGAGGTTGCTGTGAGTTGTGACCTCAGAGCACTCTACCCAGGGTGACATAATGAAATTATCTCAAAAAAAAACAAAACAAAACAAAACAAAACTGTTGGTCTGAAGTGATTCTCTTGTCTCAACCTCCCTTGTGGCTGGGCTTACAGGCGCCCTCTGTAACACCTGGCTAGTTTGTTTGTTTAGCAAGCCCAGGCTGGGTTTGAACCCACCAGCTCTGGTGTATGTGACTGGTGCCCTAACCACTGAGCTGCAGGCACCAAACCAAAACTCGAATTTTTAATTGAAAAGTAGAAGATAGGGAAAACATTTAATGTTTTATTTTTAGTTAACATAAAACAGAAAGGGTATTTGTTGTACTCATATCATCAGTAAGTCTTTAAAACCATGAGTTCTTCGCCTAGGTGCCTGAAGCTCATTGGCTAAGGCACCAGCCACATAACACCAGAGCTGGTGGGTTTGAACCCAGCCTGCACCTGCAGAACAACAGTTGTAACTACAACAAAAATAGCCGGGCATTGTGGTGGGCACCTGTAGTCCCAGCTACTTGGGAGACTGAAGCAAGAGAATTGCTTAAGCCCAGGAGTTTGAGGTTGCTATGACTAGGCACTCTACCTAGTGTGACAGCTTGAGACTGTCTCAAAAATAACCTAAAAGGCAGCACTTGTGGCTCAAAGGAAGTAGGGCACTGGCCCTGTATGCCAGAGGTGGTGGGTTCAAACCCAGCCCTGGCCAAAAACTTCAAAAAAAACCCATGAATTCTTCCCTCTCTCCCATTACAGGATTGCTTATATTGAATTTAAGACAGAAGCTGATGCAGAGAAAACATTTGAAGAAAAGCAGGGAACAGAGATTGATGGGCGATCCATTTCCCTGTACTACACTGGGGAGAAAGGTCAAAATCAAGACTATAGGGGTGGAAAGAATAGCACTTGGAGTGGTAAGAATTTTTGTATTGTTATAGGGTGTCATAATTAAGGCAGGGAAATTTTTATGTCTTTGTTATTCATAAGTTTAAGTGCTGGTTGCTATTAGACAAGTTTAATTAGATGAAGGTGAAGGAAATTATACAAATAGTCCTTATTCGTAATAGTAACCTCCATTCCCTTTAATGACAGCCGAAATCCTTTGTCGTAGAATGTGGCTAGGCAAATGTAGCATCCTTTTTCTTATGCTTTAAGTGATTTAGACCATGTGTGCTCTGAATTCTCATTACTCTTGGAAGACATAGACTAGTAAATAGTCATGTTATATGTAAAGAACAGTAAGCAGGGCATTACAGGACATAATGGGTGTTATGTGTTTAGTAACAAAAGTAGGGTTTAACTATCATCAGTTTTGGTATGTTAACTCTCCCAAACACGAAAGTTCTTAGGTACTGTGGCTGAAGCTAGGAACCTGTGTTGCAAAGTCAAAAATGTGAGCATTTCTTTATTTGCAGGTGAATCAAAAACTCTGGTTTTAAGCAACCTGTCCTACAGTGCAACAGAAGAAACTCTTCAGGAAGTGTTTGAGAAGGCAACTTTTATCAAAGTGCCCCAGAACCAAAATGGCAAATCTAAGGGGTAAAATAGTATCTTTTATATCATCACCTGTGTGGGCAGTTAGGAGCATCTCTAATTCAGCTCTGTAAATCAGTGAGAAACAGCCCTTAAATACCTGCTTGATGAGAAAGACTTGGTGGTATCTGGGATAGCAGAAGGGCATGTGCTTGGTCACTTATTTGACGTCTTACTCATCCTCAGGTATGCATTTATAGAATTTGCTTCATTTGAAGATGCTAAAGAAGCTTTAAATTCCTGTAATAAAAGGGAAATTGAGGGCAGAGCAATCAGGCTGGAGTTACAAGCACCCAGAGGATCACCTAATGCCAGAAGCCGTAAGTTTCTATTGACAGGTTATTGTGGTTGGGGGATAGCTCTTGGTGCTGTGCTTGAATTTGTTTATGTTGATAATTTATTTTTCCCTAGTCTCATTTTTCTATTGCTGCTGAGTGAGTGATAACTGGATATGATGACTGATTACCTGAGAAATAATTGATGAGATTTCAAGAAAATTCCTCTAGATAGTCAAGTTCTGATCCAGATGTATCGACTCAGAGCAGCAAATTTGCCTTAACTGGTGGGCAGCAGTTACATCTTTGGGTTGTTTCTCCCCTTTTCCATAAAGATGTGAGGCAGGACCTCAACTATCACCTAGTGGCGCGGTGTTGCAGTAAAAGCTTTTTTAAGCACTAGTGGGCTGAGTTCCATTTAATTGTTTTTTTTTTTTTTTTTTTTCCACTAAGGCAAGTAGTCATAGAAGGCATCTTATAGATTCAGTGTCCTTATGAATTGTGACTTCAAATAAAAAGACTGAATTATTATTTTTCTTCCCCAGAGCCATCCAAAACTCTGTTTGTCAAAGGTCTGTCTGAGGATACCACTGAAGAGACATTGAAGGAGTCATTTGACGGCTCTGTTCGTGCACGGATAGTCACTGACAGGGAAACGGGGTCCTCCAAAGGGTAAGGTGTGGCATTGCCTCCACTTCTGGGTTATGTTTTTTCTGTGTGGAGGTCTCAGCTCTAGTGTCTTCTCATTGAGCTCCGTTCTGTCTCTTGGTGGCAGTTTATGGATTCGCACGAGAAGAAGAATAATTCACAGAGCTAGCATTATTTTACCTCTATGGAGGTATATTTGGCTGTTTTGTGAGACATTCTGGGAGTTTGGACAGACATTTAAACCAGTTAAAATGTCTACAAGGAGCTGCTCTATCTTAGGCATTCCCAGCTAAGCACAGGTGCTCTCCCTGTGAGTAACTTGGTGCTTGTTGAGTACATACTTGGTTTGTAATATGTAACTTAATTTGATTTTTCAGGTTTGGGTTTGTAGACTTCAACAGTGAGGAAGATGCCAAAGCCGCAAAGGAGGCCATGGAAGATGGTGAAATTGATGGAAACAAAGTTACCTTGGACTGGGCCAAGCCTAAGGGCGAAGGTGGCTTTGGGGGTCGTGGTGGAGGCAGAGGAGGCAGAGGTGGTGGCAGAGGCGGCCGAGGTGGATTTGGTGGCAGAGGCCGGGGAGGCTTTGGAGGTAAGGCAGAGAGCAGTGACCTCATTGTATTACCATGTGGCACATGTACCTGGTGCCCTGTGCCTTGTCAGGATTCCTGATCACTCAGGCAGGAAATGTGGGCAGCTTTGTACCCATTCCTTAATACCATCTTGCCTTCCTGCAGGCCGAGGAGGCTTCCGAGGTGGAAGAGGAGGAGGAGACCACAAGCCACAAGGAAAGAAGACGAAGTTTGAATAGCTTCTTTGTCCTGTGTCTTTCCCTCATCTGTTTGAAAGAAAGGACTCTGGGGTTTTTACTCTGTTACCTGATCAATGACAGAGCCTTCTGAGGACATTCCAAGACAGTATACAGTCCTGTGGTCTACTTGGAAATCCGTATAGATAACATTTCAAGGGCGCTACCCTGTTGGTTTTGACTGGATATTCATATAAACTTTTTAAAAGAGATGAGTGATAGAGCTAACCCTTATCTGTAAGTTTTGAATTTATATTGTTCCCTTCTATGTACAAAACCATTTTTTCCTACAAATAGTGTTTTTTTTTGTTTTTTTTTTGCGTTGGGGGAGTTGTAAAGGAAAATGTTTTATCATGATTTTTGCTTCAGTGGCTTTAGGAGAAATTAAAAGTCAACTCTGGTGCCAGACTTGTTAACTTCCTAAAAGAGTGTCTCTCTTGGAATGTCACTCATGATGTCACTGAAGAGCATGACAAAGCCACCTGTCACTTGGCTTTACCCACTGTGATGAAAGTGATCAATGGGTTGGTTTCTAGTATCCTAGCCTCTAATTTGGGAGAAATGGCTGCTGATGGGGGTGGTGGTAAGCATCTCCTATTGCCTGGTGTGCTGGCATTGAAGGTGTGTGGGAAGGCTGCAGTTTCTCCCACTTGGAGCAGGCCCAAGGGTTATGTCCTGAATGAGAGCTCAGAAAGCACAGGAGTACTAGTCAGGTTTCTAGGATACTAGAAACCAAGATAAGGTGTTGAGAACATCATTTCTGCAAAGACAGATGAGTAGAATTCATTCTAGATGAATAGATTTAGTGGAGGCTAGGGAGGAAACAAGTCCAATAACAGACCCCCAAAAGCTAAGTATATTGTGTAGACATTCCGTCTGATCTTACTAAGTGCTTCCTACTTTTGCTTTTAATAAAACTCAAAAGATCACATTAGAGGTCTAGATCCTCTAGATCAAGGAACTACCAACATTCTGACAAATGTAGCTGAAACAGTGCACAAAGTGAACCTAGGTACCCAAGTCCAAAGCCTGTTCTAATTAAGCTAGTGAAATCAATGAAAGATAAATTTACTGAAATTTAATAAGGTTAGAAGGCAACCTGGACACTGTTAAGTATGTGGCTTTATATTTGTCCTGGCTGTTTCACTATTGGGGTGGGGAAATCTCTGAGACCTTGTGCGTTATCAGTCCTGTCCTGTTAAGTACCAGGAATGAGAGGGAACCACTGGAGGGGTAATGGCCTAGTGAAAGGGCTGCAGCTGTGAAGTGGAAGTGTTTCTCACAAGGCAAGGACAAAATTCTAACCTAAATTATAGGTAGCTGAGAGCTTTGAGTTAGTTGAATCCCATCAAGGATACCATGGATGAAGTTCAAATTAGTTTTGCGGAGTGTAGTGGCTCATACCAGTAATCCTAGCACTTTGGGAGTCTGAGGCAGGTGGATAGCCTAAGCAAGAGCCAGACCCTGTGTCTACTAAAATAGAAAAATTAGCTGGTGTGTCTGGCTCCTATAGTCACCAAATACCTTGGAGACTTTTTTTATTAAGACGTAGATCATGAACTTTGAGGCTTTTTTTTTTTTTTTTTGGAGACCATCTCAAGCTGTTGCCCTGGGTAGAGTGCCATGGCATCACAGTAACCTCAAACTCTTCAGTTTAAGCAATTCTTCCTCAGCCTCCCAAGTAGCTGGGACTACAGGTGCCCACCACAAAACCCACCTTTTTTTTGTTGCAGTGTACCAGGCCCATGCCAGGTTCACACCCACTAGCCTTGGTATATATGTCTGGCATTCTACCCACTGACCTATGGGCACCATCTATCTTAGAGACTTTATGTTGCTGTGAGCTGTGATAGCACATCACTCAATCCCAATGGAACAGAGTGAGGCTGTCTCAAAGAAAGGACTGAGCTGGATGTGTGCTTGTACCTGTAGTCCCGGCCACTCAGGAGGCTGAGACAAGAGGATTGATTGCTTGAATTTGAGGTACATTAGGGTTGAGCGCAGTGGTGCATGCCTGTAATCCCAGCACTTGAGAGGTTGAGGTGGGTGGATTTCCCGAGCTCAGGTTCAAGACCAGCCTGAGCCAGAGCAACAAGACTGAGACCTCATCCCTAAAAATAGCTGGGTGTTGTGGCAGCGCATGTAGTACCAGCTACTTGGGAGACAGGCAAGAGAATCACTTAAGCCCAGGAATTTGAGGTTGCTGTGAGCTGTGATACTACAGCACTCTACCAAGGGTGACCAAACAAGACTTAGCAAAAAAACTCCAGAAAGGTACATTAAATATAAAGGAAAAAGTTGAAGTTAAAATGATGGAAAAGGGTGGCACCTGTGGCTCAAAGGAGTAGGAGGTGGTGGGTTCAAACCCAGCCCCAGCCAAAAACTGCAAAAAAAAAAAAAAAAAAAAAAAAGTAAAAGACAATACCATGCAAACACAAGAATTAAGAAATCTTATGGGGGTGGTGCCTTTGGCTCAAGGAGTAGGGTGCCAGCCCCATATGCCAGAGGTGGCAGATTCAAACCCAGCCCTGGCCAAAAACAGCAAAAAACAAAAAAATCTCTTATGGCTATATTTATATGAGACAGTGGCTTTCAAAGTGAGGACTATAACCAAAGATAAGTGACATTTCACAATTTTAAAGATGGTTAATTTGGGTTGGGCCTATAATTCAGTGAGTAGGGCTTTGGCCTCATATACTGAGGGTTGTGGGTTTGAACCCAGGCCCTGTTAAAGTACAACAAAAAATAGCCAGGTGTTGTGGCAGGTCCTTGTAGTCCCAGCTACTCGGCTGAAGCAAGAGAATCTCCTAAGCTCAAGGGCTGGAGGTTGCTGTGAGCTGTGACTCCATAGCTTTCTACCTAGGGCGACAGAGTAAGACTGTCTCAAAAAAAAGGTTAATTTATCAGAAAGATACAGCAATCCTAAATGTGAGCTATGATGACACAGCACCCAAGTTACTGTGAGCTATGATGGTACAACACTCTAGCTAGGGCAATAGAGTGAGACTTTTATTATTTTTTTAAAGTTTGTTAGCTATTAAATAAAGCATGGCTGGATAGTGCAAGTACTGTGTAATTTACATTGGCAATATGTCAGTCTATTGAAGAAAGGCTGTATAAGATTGCACTCCATCCAGGTCTGGAATCCATGGTGGTGACTCCTCGTCCTGCAGCCTTCTCTCAAGCTGGTATGAGTTGAGGCTTAATTTCTTCTGCTCAATCTTTGGCAGGCCCATGGGTTTAAGTAATCAAAATGTTAATAAGCAACTTGCCCACTAGGAACACAAGTTGAGATCCCAACGGGGCTGCAGCGCACCCATTGCTTGTTCTGCATGAGTATGACTGAAGGGTCTGTGGGGGTGTTTTGACAGGCTCCTTTGCTGTGTGGCAAGAAGGTTTGGATCTGGCTCGGTGCCTATAGCTCAACCAGCTAAGGCGCTAGCCACGTACACCTAAGGTGGCGGGTTCGAATCCCCAGCC